GAGGAGCTGATACCAAGGGCTCAAGTAGAAAGCAAATGTTTTGAAAATGATGATGGCAACATATGTACACATGTGCTTGACACAATGGATGGATGTGTGGTTTGTGATAAAAGCTGTATGAGCCCCCAATAAAATGAGATTTTTAAAAAGAGGAAGGAGAAGGTGGAGAAACAGATGTGGGGTGCCCAGAGTCAACGTGCTTCATCCTCCCATCTTCCCCATCCTGGCTGTCCAGACACCTCCCTCCACATGACAGCGCCTGGGCCCTACCTCTGCCGCTCTTCCTCCAGCCTTATGCAGACTGAGACCCCGAGGCTGGGCCAGCCTTGCTCAGCCCTGCCTGGCTCCCGTGGGAAGTGCTGAAGCACAGGCCCTCTGGGGAAGCAGAGCTGGACCCAGCACCTTCCCTCCTGCTCAGAAAGCTTTGTACAGGCTGTTCCTTCTGCTCCAGATGCCATTCCCTGCTGCTTCTGCCTGCTGACTCGGGGCTGTCAGGGCCCCAGTCATCCCAGGATGCTCCTCCTAATTCCTTTGGGTGGGAGCTGTGTCCCCTGGAGCTGGACCCTCTCTGGCCATCCTGTGAGCTGTCCAGGGACCAGGACCGGATGTTTTTCATCTGTGTACCATGCCCAGCATGCTCAGCCGTGGTGGGGCTGAGCGTGGACAATGGGCATGCAGCTATCACCCTGCGGTGACACATAGATTCCATCCATGCACGCCCAGGGGCTCCGCGGAGCTGAGATGACACCTATCAGGGACCAGGTGGGGATCCACCGCCAGAGCCTTTAAGGCAAGAGAGGGCTGCCTTGATTTAAAAGTAAAAGCATCCAAGGCCGTTGAGTCCGTCTGACTTTGATCCCGACTCACACTCGACGGGACAGAGCACAGACCCTACAGAACTGCCCCCACAGATTTTCCAAGCTGTAGCCTTTATGGACACAGACGGTCACATCTTCCTCTAGTGGGCTCAGACCACACACTTGTCAGTTAGCAGCTGAGCGCTTAACCCCTGTGCCACCAGGGCTCCCTCCCCTTTTAAGCAAGGCCCTTGGCACTGAGTAACTTTCCCAAGGTCCCAGGACCAGGCTCGTGACCACACTGCCATCCTAGGGATGCCAGGAGCCTCTCTCCCTGGCACCTGGCACCTCCCCCAGAGACCGCTGTTCCCTGAGCGAGCCGACACCCACCTTGCGCTTCTTGGCACGGCCCTCGGCCTGCAGGGTGCGGGTGCAGCGCTGCACGCACTCGGAGAAGCTGAGGTTGCTGTGGTCGGCGCTGTAGTCCAGGTCGGCCAGCCGCGCCAGGGACAGGATGTAGTTACAGGCGATCCTCAGGATGGCCAGTTTGGACAGCTTCTGCCCGTAAGAGTAGCAGGGCACCTGCGGGGGAGAAGGCGTGAGGAGGGGCTCAGTTCTCCTCATGGGCAAAACCTCGGCTGCAGGCGTGGGGCAGCTCACGACAACTTCTAATTCCACCACCTAGTGGGGGCGAGCTGGGCACGGGAGGGGGCCTGGGTGAAGCATTCTCTAGTCCTGAGAGCCAGCCTCTGTTATCTGCTAGATCAGGGGTTCTCAACCTCCTAATGCGGCCACCCTTTCATACAGTTCCTCAGGTTGTGGTGACCCCCACCCCAACCATAAAATTGTTTTCGTTGCGACTTCATCACTGTAGTTTTGCTACTGTTATGAATCAGACGACCCCTGTGAGAGGGTCGTTTGACTCCCCCAAAGAGGTCGTGACCCACAAGTTGAGAACCACTGTGTGAGATGAACCGTCTTTATGATCTGCTCAAAGCACCGCGGGTGGCACACGCGTCAGCTCAGCCTGCCCCTGACAGACTGGGAGCTATCCCTTCCTGTCACACGCTGGAAGACCGTCACTGGGTGTCCACCACGACAGCCCTGTTCTCCTCCCCTCCAAGGAGGACTCTCGGAGGGAGTGGATGCCCCCGCCACTCATTCCCGGACCCTTGTCACGCTGGGCACCTTGGGGTTCCTGCCCCGGGACCGCAGACTCGAAATCACGCTACACTGCAATGCCACGCAGGGATGGGCACTAGGAAGGAAGCAGCGTGGTTAGCGTCTCCCTCTCTCTCCCCTTCCCTCCCCGCCTCCCTCCTTCCTTCCGTCTTTCTTCTTTCTCTTCTCCCTTCTAGCGGCTCTCTGCGCTGGGGCGCTGCTGGCGCACAGGAAGGGCGTGGTCCATGTTTACAGCCCCAGCCAGACCTGGCAGGTGTGTCAGATGCCCATCACCCAGGGTGGGGGTGTTGGTGGGGGTACCCATCGCGTTCAATCCAAGTCTCAGCAGCCCCCTGTGACGGAGTAGGGCTGCCCCCATGGGGTTTCCAAGCTGTCACCCTTACAGTGTGTGTGCGGTTGTACATTGGGGTGCCGCGAGTCAGGACCAGCTCAGTGCCATCTGACGACCACGACGACAATCTCTACAGAGCCCAACTGCCAGGGCTTTCTCCCGAGAGCCCACCAGCTAGGTTTGAACCGCCAACTGGAGCGTCTAACCGTGGTGCCTCCGGGCTCTCCCACACCACCAACTCGACACTCACTCCCTGCACAGGGCTTAATGGGACAGGGTGCACAGCCTCTTCCAGATTGAAGAGTGGTCCCCAAAGTTTTGCTACCTGAGCAAAAAACCAAAAAAACTCCAGGACCAAAGCAGGCTTGAGCCGAGCTCGGCGCGGTCACGTGCGCATGACCACGACAGCCTGGACCTGCTCGGGCCGGCTAGTCGCCATGTAGAATGCCCCTCTGTGGCTGAGACGCGCACCCTCCCACCCAGGGGGTGCCCCCACCACTGTGCACTTCCAGAATCGACGAAAGCAGCAAGCATGGCACGAGCATGTGGTCCTAACGAACCCCTACCCCGCAGAGGGACCCACGGACACGTCCGTTCAGCAGTTAGGAGCAGCAAGTCGCCGCCCCCCGCCCGTGGCAGGCACTGCTCACGGTTCCAGGTCAGTGCTTCTCAACCACGGGCCATCTTGTCCCTCAGGGTGGGGGTGTCCTTAGCCAAATCTGGAGATGCTGTTGGTTGTCCCAGCCAGGGACGTGGCTAACCACTGACAGTGGCCAGGACAGGCCTCAAACCCAATTCTCACGCAGCCCGCAAGGCCATCCCTGCTAAGACGGAAAAGGCCGCTGGAGGTACACACAAGACGGTCACCTCAGATGGGGGACACCCACTGTGAATGTCACGTTACACCCACTGTGAATGTCACGTTCAGTTTACGTTGGCCAGGAGCTTTACACACACACACACACACACACACACACACACACACACACACACCCTGCTCCCTAAGCCAGGGCAGTTTCCTGTCCTTGACAATGCCACAGCAGCACCCATTCTGGCCTCCACACTCAAGTATCCAACTGACCTCCTTCACGGGGGCCAGTGTCCACAGCGCCAAGCACAGGCCCACTGTGGCAAGCACTCAGGGAGGGTTGCTGAGTAAGGGGACGAGTGAGACAAAGAACACTCTCCCTCCACTGTCACCCAGTGACTCCGGAGCCTGACCTCTCTCTAAGGACGGGGCATGAGCCCCTCCACAAGAGATGGCAAAAGGCAGAGAGCCGAAAGGCATGGGTCTTTGGTCACCTGCGTTCACCTCCTGGTTCTAGCTGTTCCCAGCTATAACTTTGGGCACCCGGCATAATCCTTCTGAGCCTCAGTTTCCTCAGCATGTTGATGGAAGGATGGCCATCACAAGGTCACTCGCTGCCAGCGAGCCCATTCTGATACACGGTGACCCTACAGGACAGGGAGAACTGACTGAGTTTCCCACACTGTAACTCTTCACTGGAGCAGAAAGCCTCATCTTTCTCCTGAGGAGTAGCTGCTGGGTTCGAACTGCTGACCTTGGGTTTAGCAGCCCCGTGCATAACCCATGAAGCCCCCAGGGCTCCCTGCACAGGCTAGTAAGGAGTAAAAGAGATGACGTGTGCATCGCAGAATAAGGTCCAAGCAGACCAGTGTAGTGATGACACTGGATGTGGAAGGTCCCCAAAGAGGGGCTCCAGAGAGAGGGAGAAACCTGAGGTCTGGAGACAGAACACGGGCCGGAGGCAAGGTTGCTTTTAGTCTTTTTAAATCCTCCAAGACAAGGAGTCCTGGGAGACACCAATGGTTAAGCTCCAGGCTATTAACCAAGAGGTTGTCATTCGATCTTGCCCAGGAGTGGCTTGGAAGAAAGGCCTGGCCATCTGACCATCTGATCCTGAAAGCTCACAGCCTTGAAGTTCTCCTCTGAGCACCAGGGGTCTCCAGGAGCTGGACTCAACTGACCACAGCAGCAGCTCTGTGTGTGTGTGTGTGTGTGTGTGTGTGTGTGTGTGAGAGAGAGAGAGAGAGAGAGAGAGAGAGAACTGGGACCCCAGGGAGGAGGAGGGATGTGACAAAGAGGAAGGCAGCCTCCCCAACCGCACCCCAGCCCCCATGCAGTCCCCCTTCCCATCTCCCAGTCCCAGCTCATCCACAAAACGCTGGCAGAACAATGCACTTTGCTTGTTCCCAACAAGAGTCCAGAGAACCCTGCCCCCAGGGCTCCAGGCCGCTTTATCAGCCTGAACAAATAAACAAGGGATGTGAGCCACAGGGCTTTGGTAGTCCTGGGTCAGGGCTGGGGGTCTCAGCCTTTTCCACACCCTGCCTGATGGAGGCCTGGGGCTGGGCAAAGTTTGTGACCGAAGCAAGCCCCTAGCATTCCCCCTCCCTCCCTGAAACAGTGCAGGCCTGTGAGCTGGTGACAGCTGGGCCTCCCTGCCAGTGAGAAGCAGGGATCTGCCTGCTGGGACCCAGGGTCACTGCAGACTCCAGAGCAACAGATGATGCCAGGTCCTTGTCCAAAACTGTCACTTTGCCAGGTTGCGCCTGTCAAGCTCTAGGCCCAAGAGCGACTATCTGCTGAACTCTTGTCTATCTGACCCTGTGATAGCTTTAGAGGGAGTGTCTGCCCACTGAAGAGTCCTGGTGGCAGGGCGGACTACATGGGTTGCTAACCTTGAAGCTCTCTGCTCCCAGACTTACAGCCTCAGAAACTCACAGGGGCAGTTCTACTCTGTCCGACAGGGTTGCCCTGAACTGGCATCAACTCGATGGCACTGGCTTAGTGGGTTGAGTATTAATCCATTTACACTTTTCCCAAAATATAGATGACGATGCCAGCTGCAAATGAAGAAACTCGTTACCAGCCAAGGCCTGGCTGGAGACAAGAAGCCTGTCGGGCCAACATTCAGGGAAGGCACATGGTCATCAGGCTCTCCGGACCGCACGCCCACCAGGACCGGCCACACACCTAAAAGGACACCCTCCTGGCCTGCCCTTCACCCCCAGTGACAGCCCTTCAGCTCACCTGGCTAACTCCAGGACTCCCTGGATGCAACTCGCTGGACACCTCGGCTTGGGCTGTTACTGCAAAGTAGGAGTGTCCCCAGGTCTGGGAGGTTGGGGGGTTGGGGTGGGAGAGGGTGGGGGAGCACAGAAATGGCTGGTCTGAGTGCCAGGCACTTCTTGGCAATGTGACTTTGGGCAAATCCCTTCAGCTCTCTGCACCTCAGTTTCCTCACTGGAGAGCAGGGATAGTGAGCTGTCAGAACTGCAGACACTGACCTGTATCACAGACCCCTTGACGGTCCCTTCTCCTGCCTCTTCCCAGGGAGTGGGGACCAGATCACCCCTTGTGGCTGGCAGAGGGCTGGGGAATTTTGACTACAAATACCTACATTCATCTTTTAAACAGCCTTTTTAAGTAGCCAAGGGATCCTTGCACAGTACAAATAGTTTAGCACTTGACTACTGACTAAAGGTCGTCAGTTCAGATCCTCCCAGGGGCACCTTGGAAGAAAGGCCTGCTGATCTACTCTGAAATAGATGGGGTCACCAGGAGTCGGAACTAACTCAACGGCAAGTGGCGTGGGTTTGGGTTTGGGCTTTTATCACTTCCATTTTACAGAGAAGCATTTAACACGTCAAACCCAAAACACCAAGCTCACTGACATCGCGTCGACGCCAAGCCACGATCACACTCTCAGGCAGGGTAGAACGGCCCTTGTGCGTTCCTGAGACTAACTCTTTATAGGCGTACAAAAACCTCATCTTTCACCTGAGGTGGTTTTGAACTACTGACCTTGAGGTTAGCAGCCCACTGCATACATAACCCCTACGCTAGCTGGGCTTCCAGGGGCACACACACTTCCTGAGTGTGAGATACGCTGGGTTTTGACTTCGTGGCTTGCCTCATCTCTTCCCCATTTGCCATCAGGAACGGCATGACTGCATAAGGACCCACAGCCCAAGGCATGTGTGCAGAGGGGGCGGCCGCCCTTCGGTGCCAAGAGGGAACGTTCTGGGTGAAGATCCCAGAGACACGCAGCCCTTGTAAACCTACTCCTGTGACCAAAGGCCACGACACCCAATACGATTACAGTCCCCCAACTGCCAGCTGCTCCCCGGGGCAGAGGGCACAGTGCTGGGGAGGGATGGCCTGGCACCAGCTGGTCACGTCACAAGCTGCTACCTTTGAGGGAAATCACCCTAAATTAACCCCACCTTTCCTCCACAGCCACCGGCATGGGCCCTCAATACAAGACCTGCTCAGCATCCCCTAAGGGACCTGCCCCAGCTGCTATGGGTGGGCCCTGGGATCTGACAGTGAGGGACATGCTGAACTGGGACGCCATCTGCACACCCGCTTCTGGGCCACCTTCAGTTCAAGGCAGGCTCCAGAAAAAGCAGGGAGGCCACCTGGGCCCCATTTGCTTGTCACCCTCCTGAGAAGAGGCACCTCAGTAGGCGCTCCCTGCCAGCCTCGAGCCTCTACCTGCCCATGCTGTCACTCCTGTGCCACTGATTGACAGGGCTTCCCATGGCAGGCAGAGAGGAAACACACACACTTGCCAGGTGCCCGAGGCTGGGCCCAGTCTGGGAGCCAGAAGCCCTGCCAGGAGGCCCAAGCCCACAGCAGCCAGCCTGTCCTCTGACCCTCCACCTGGGGCCAGAGCCGGCCCGCACATGGGCCAGCCCAGCTGTGCACACATGGCCTTCACATGAGACCGGGGAGGGAGGGCTCTTGTGCAGCTGGGCTGGTGGCATGTGCTGCAGCCTCACCATCTGCCCCGCACACCAGCACCCTGGCCCCTGCTGCCACACCGGAGGGCTTTGTCCGCACCTGCACTTCTGCGCTGTGGCCATTCAGCAGGCCCTCCCAGCTCCCTGCCTGGCTAAGGGAACAGCCACCAACAGAGGTCGCGCTGACAAAAAACGGCAGCAGGCCGGCTTCCAGGTGCTAAGGGTAGAGGAGCAGTCTGAAAGAGCTGGGTGCTGGAGGAACTCCAAGACCCTGGTTCAAAGCCAGCCTCTGACAGTGACCTCTGCCCGCTGACCTCGGCCAATCTACACAGCTTTTGGAACCTTAATTTCACCACCTGTAAAGTGGGTGGGAGCTTGTGAGTGTCTATCATGTTAACAGAACTACACATGCGTGCCCGGCACTGAGCAGCCATCTAATGAACTAGTTCCTGTGAATATTATTGGATGGCGCTATGGGTCAGAATGGCCTCCGGGGCCCTGACAACACCACCACCAAAAAACCAAACTCACTACCACTGGGTCCATTGTGGGGTAGTGGGTTAATGTGTTGGGCTGCTAACACAAGGTCAGCAGTTCAAAACTACCAACTGCTCCAAAGAAGAGAGATGACACTCGCAGAAACCTGGTCTCGGAGACCCATAGGCATAGTTCTACCCTGTCCTGCTTGGTCACCAAGCAGAGCAACCACATGATTGTTATTGAAATTACTGGCTCTCGGCCATCGAGTCGATGCTGACTCATAGTGACCCTACAGGACAGGGAGAACTGCCCTGTGGGTTTCCGAGACTGACTCTATGGGAGTAGAAAGCGCCCTCTTTCTCCCGAGGAACAGCTGGTGATATCAAACTTCAGACCTTTCCGTAGCAGCCCAGCGTGTAACCACTACACCACCAAACACCAAGCCAAACTCCCTGCCATCGAGTCAGCGCTGATTCATTGCGACCCCCTAACCCCCACTACAGGCTGTAACTCTTTATGACAGTCTTTCTCCCTCGGAGCTGCTGGTCGGGGTTTCAAACTGCTGACCACACAGATCGCAGCCAGCATGTAACCACACACCACCAGGGCTCCTCAAATTATTATTATCTTTTTAATTATTAAAAAATACTCATTTCTACATCTGTCGAGAGCCTTGCCCAGCCCCGAGGACACTGCAGCAGCTCAAGAAATGTTCTTCCCACCTAAAGTTTCCTCTCCTTTCTTCATTCGTTTCCTCAAAGAAGCCGCATACGTGATAAGCACGGTCGCCTCCACATGACAGCTGAGACAGAGAGGGTAAGGGACTGTTCAACAAGCCTCTCGGGCCAGGGCTGGTCTCACCGCACCAGGAACCTGCTCGGGTAACAAAGTCCCAGACCAGCACCGTAGCCCCCCATCTGGTCTCCGTCTTGTCCCAGGCAGAACCGCCTTCCTGCTTTTCCCAAGAATCCAGCTTGGGAATGTCAGTCCATCCTAGATCTCACAGCTACAGACATTCAGGACTCGGGGGAGGAGAGGGTCTTTTACAGGTAGGGAAACTGAGGCCGAGCGGAGCTCCTCCAGCCACACAGGTCCTTAAGGATGGGTGGGTGTTGTGGGGGGGAGGGGTATGTGATAGGTGCACCCTCAGGCCCTGGCTTTGTGGCTCTATTTCCTTCCTTCCTAGACAGGAGGCAGGGGCCCACGTCATTACAGCAGCCCTTTGGGCAAGAGACAGAGTCCTTCGAGCAAAAAGAGGACTAACAGGAACAGGTGCTTCTGTGAGTGTGAGTCTGTGTGTGTGAGTGTGTGTGTGTGTGTGTGTGCGCTAGCAGGTGGGTATGTGTGAGCCTACATGTTCAGACACACACCCCCTCTCACTGAAAGGGCTTGGTTCTGCCCCTCCTGCATCGGACTTTCTTAAGGAAAGGGTGGAAAAGAAAGGTGAGCAAGGATTACGAAGGTCACCTCAGAGCATCTGCCAAGTGTGTGCCCAGCCTCTGATTGTTAACAAGCTCCACAGGGCAGGGCCCCCCCACCTCGCCGACCGAGCCAACACTGGTTGTGGGAGCATTTGGCCAGGCCCTCTTTTGAGAACCTGCTGCCATCTTGCCTGCGCCACAAGGTGCTCTTGGACAAGTCTCCTCTCTTCCCTAGGCTCAGCTTTCCATCCGCATAGTGGGCTCGCCTGATCCTGGCAGAGATGTTGCGAGGATCAAATAGACTGAGATCTCTTCTAGAGCAATGGTGCGTGCTAACTTGTTAGGCTTCAACCCCAAAGATCAGCTGTTCAAATGACCAGTCATTCAGAGGGAGCAAGACAAGGTTTTCTACTGTCATAAACAGCAACAGTCTCAGACACTCCCAGGGGCAGCTCTGTCTTGTTCTAGAGTCATAGGGAGTCGGCACTGACTCCCTGGCAGGGAGTTTGGCTTGGGTTTTAAAAGCCGTCAGACCAATGAGATGCAGTGGAGCATGGAGAGACCTTGAACCGTCCCTCCCTGGGAACTCAGAGGCAGACAGCTATGGTGCCAGCCTAGTTCTGTCACTCATGCGACCCTGCCACTCAGTAGCTGGGAAGCTCCAGGCCGTGGCTTTAGCAAGCTGGGAGGGGGTTCCCTAATTGTGAGGTGTGCAGGTGAACGGGCTGCCCTGCCCTTGTGTCACCTTTCCTCCAGGGAAGTGGGTAGCCGGACATGCCCCAGGTGGCTTCCGGCTCCCCACTCCCCAGGGCACTCAAACACAGAGCTGCTGCCCCAGGGTGGGACTGCCTGCTCCACTGGGCCCACTGCCCAGGTCCTGGCTAGCCTGACTGTGGGCAGTTTCCCAGGCTGGTCTGTGACCACAGCTTGACCCTACCACCCAGCCTCAATGACCCAACGTCTCACCCAAACCCAGGCAAAGCACCTTGGCTCAAAAGCCCTCGGGCTTCTTTTGCCCTGGTTCTTGGATTCCGTTTCCATGAATGGATACTGGCTTCGTCTCCCCGGAGGAAGAGCAGAGGGTGAGCCAAAGAGAATGCTTTGTTGGTGGCTAAAAGCCTAGAGAGGTTAAGTAACTTTCCTGGAGTCACACAGCCGCCAGCTTCCCAGCAAGCAAACTGACTCTTCAAATGAGGCACATCCAATCCAATATCACACCACACACACACACACACACACACACACACACACACACACACACACACGAGGGCTGTTTGGAGGGCACAAGAAAGGCACTTACCAACCACTTCCTTCACCCAGCTGACAGAATGGGAAGCCTAGGACAGGAGGGCTATGCCCACTCCTTTTTAAAGTGGAGTTGTAAACTGCCCCTCACCGACCATAAGTACACAAACACTCTTGGACAAATCTTCTCCCCTAACCCTGCAGAGGGACACTGTCTGATGTCAACAGCTGAGAGGCCCTGACTGACCCTAGAACTAGACGCTACAGACCCTTCGGAGGAAACCCCCAACAGTCGGTCCCCCAGGCGGCTCTGCCCCTTTCACCGGGGTTAAGGTCAGGTAGTGGGGTTGGGGGGTGGGGGGATGAGTAAAGATGGACCAGGATCTCCTGGGGGAAAGTCCTCAACCAATCCCTGGGGTGCAGGCAGCGGGTTCCCAGTCCAGGTTTCTAAACACGCCAGAACAAGAGGGCCCAGAAGCAACCTGAAGGTACCTCCGTGGGCTGGAAGCCTGGTCTGAGGCTAGGTTAGCGGGCTCCTGACGGCTGTAGCAACCTTATAGCCTGGCCACTCACCGCAACCCCGGGGCAGCCCACTCAGCCACCTTCTGGGCCTCTCCACCCCACCGGCAGGCGAGACCTGAACCTGACCATAAGCCCGTGGGGAAGGCTCATCCCCTCCCTTCCCCACATCCCCACCGCGCATAAGGCGCTCCAGGAGACAAATCCTCGCTGCCATGAAAGTGAACTGCGAGGGCTGAAGTTAAATGCACAGCCAGGCTCACTCAGGCGGGCGGGGGGAGGGGGGGGACCCCGAGGAGAGTCCCGGGCCAGAGATTTCAAACCGCATGCCCACTTTGCAAACTAACGGCACAGGTCGCCTCCCTGGGATTGCGCGCAGGGGTTCTGGGGTCCCACTGGGCAAAGGCCTTGTGCTCTTGCACATCTCCATCCACCCCAAATTTCCAGACCCTGCATCGCCCACTCCGGCATGCCTCCCCCGGCGCGAGGCGGGTGCGCAGCGGGCAGCGGGTACCTGCTTCCTGAGCGCCTCGAAGGCGGCGCTGATGGTGTGCACCCTGGTCCGCTCCCGGGCGTTCGCCAGGAGCCTCCGCGTCTGCTGCAGGGCTTTGATCTCCGAGGAGGCGGCGGTCGCTTCGCCTGGCCGTTTCCTAGGCGACGCCGAGGAATCCGGGTGGTTATTGTAAATTACGTGTGAAATTGATGAGTAGGAACTTTCCCCGGGGCGCGTCAGGGGCGCGGGGCGCACGGAGGGTGCCGGGGGCGCTGGGGGCGCGCACAACAAGATTCGGGGACGCAGGCCCTGCTCCCGACCTGGCTGCGCCTCGGGGGGTCCTGAGGTTTGGCCCTGGGGCGCCGGAGGAGGCGGCGGCGGCGGCGGGGAGGGGAGGCCCGACCCCACGGCGCCCAGGGCGAAGCTGCGCTTCCTGGCGTCCAAGACCTCAGGCACCCTGGCGCTCCCGCGCTCCCCGACCGTGTCCGCTCCCCCACCTGGGAGGGGAGCCGGAGCCGCCGGGGCTGGCACCAGGGCCAGAGTCGGCTGTAGCCGCTGGGTCGTGTCCCGCAGCCCGCGGAGGACGAGGGCTCCGGGCTCGGGCGCTTCCAAGTCCACTCGGAAAGTTTTATAGCCGTTCGCGCGCCGCGCCGGCTCTTTGCCTTTCCTCTGGAGCTTCTTGAGGCCGTGGAGCTCCTTCACGCACACGGTCTTCCACGGCCCGTCCTCGAGGACCGGAAGGTGCTTCATGGCGCGGGCAGCGTGCGAGGCCGGGGCGTGGGACTGGCCGCGATGCGCGCCCGCCGCGCCCGCTCTGCACGCCCGGTGCAGCCTGTGCCGGGCCGCCGGCGCGCACAGCGCCGCTCAGTCTCGGGCGCTCCCCCTCTCCCGCCCCTCCCTCCCTCCTCCCTCCCTCTCGCGCTCCCCCTCTCCCCCACGCCCCGGGCAGCTGCGCCGCCGGCTCCGCGAAGCCGCCGCGCTGTCCGTCCCCGGAGCGCTCAGAGTGTCATCTGAAGTCGCGGCCGCGTTGCCAGCATTTCTGCAGAACGCCCGCTGCGCGCCATCTGTGTTTGTTTAGCCTCAGTTTACACCGAAGCCCAGTGCGCTAGATCAGTCAGCGCCGCCGCGGGGAGACCGGGCAGCTCCGGCTGCCGCCGCCGCCGACTCCCTAGCCCCGGCCGCCCGAGCCGCGAGCGCCTTTAAAGGAACAGGAAGCGTTTTTCAAAACAGCTGGGCCGCCGGCCGCCTCCTTTGTCCGCGTCCTCTCTGCCACTCACCGCGCCCCCCACCCGCGCCCCCGCCCCCTACCCGCCACCTCCCAGTCTCTCTTCCCAGAGTCTGCCTCCTCCCGATCTCCCTCCCCAGCGCCTACGCCTGACTCTGTTCATCTCTCCCCAGAGGGTAATGTGCCTGGCACAACAGCCTAGCACGTGGCTTCTGGGCGCTTCGAGCCTTCCCCCAATCCGAGTTGACACCGGCCTTGGGGGGGCCTCTCCGTGTCTGCTGCAGCGTCGGCCTTCTCCACCCCGCACCTTCCTGCCCACCCTTCCACCCCAGAGCGGCCACCTCTAGGGCGAGGGAGCGGGTGAGGGCTGGGAGGTCAGGGCTCTTGAACTGCCCGGCGACCTTCACCTCCTGGAGGGACAACCCCAGCTACTGCCGCTTCGCTGGGGCAGGGAGACCAGGAGTAGGAGAGGGCTTAGGCGACCGGGAAACTGGTGATTTCCTAAGTCACACGAAGAGCCAAGGGCAGAGTGGGATTGGAGCCTTGGCTCCAGACAGCCCTAGCATCTGTCATGTAGCGTCACCTCACCCCAGGCACCCGGCTAAGGCCAGGTTTACTCAACTATGAAATGAGAAATGTGGAGAACATCACCGCCGAAGACATGGGCAGCCCGTGGTGAGTCATCCAACAGGATTATGGTCCCAGGCGCATACAAGATGCTAGTCAGATGGAAGCAGTGACTTCTGGTTCATTGGGGCTAGGAAGCGTAGACCCGGGAGGAATTCCCTGGGTTCCAAGTTCCAGCTCTGTCCCTTCCTAAGTGGCCTTGGACAAATTGCTTCACCTCTGCCTCGATTCCCTTCTCTATAAAATGGGAGTGATGACCAGACCATCTCCCGAGGTGGCTGTGACGATGAAGTGACTAAGTGTAAAGCCTGGCATGGAGTGGAAGCTGTGTGTATGCCCACCAATAACAGCAAGGGCAGAAGGCGAGCCTCTTGGGTAGAGTCCAACCCTTTTGCCATCCCATGAGAGATTCTGAAGCGTTAAACTAGTAGACCCTCCACATCCTGACTAGAGGCCCACCTGCCCTCTGTTGCCCTCTGAGAGCCAGCACAGGTCACTCCTCACTGGCCCCTTCTCTGGGGCAGGTCCTCAGGGAGGTGGGCTGTGGTCACTAAAAATCCAGAGTCAGCAGCTCACAGCTCACTGGGACGGGGTCTGGACAGAAGGTTCAGGGGCTGAAGCGTGGAGGTGGGGCCTGATGTCCCGGCCAGACCTTGACTTTTGAGCCCCCTGACATAAGCAGGACATTTCACCTCACCTGGGCTCTTTTCTGATCTGTTCCTGGGAATCATAACACCTTAAGGTCCAGCCAACCTTTCCTGGAACTTGAGAGAGTAAAACCCAAACCCACAGCTGACCAGGCGAATCCAAACTTACAGGACAGAGTAGAACTGCCCCCATAGAGTTCCCAAGACTGCATATATCTCTACAGAAGCAGACTGCCACACCTTTCTCCCACAGTGCAGCTGGTGTGTTCAAACTGCCGACCTTCCAGGAAACAGCTGAGTCCTTAACCACTGTACCCGAGGCCCCTTCACTCACTTAAATCCCCCAACTCAAACTAACTGCCTTCAAATCAAAGCGACCCTATAAATAAAAGTGAAAAACTGCCCTTGTGAGTTTCTGAGACTCTCTTTACTGGAGTAGAAAGCACCAACTCTCTCTCTCAGAGGAGCTGGTAGTTTTGAACTGCTGACCTTGCAGATCGAGAGTCACTTCTGCACTTGTTTATATGACCATAGCAAGCCTTGTTTTCCCCCATCAAGATGAGCCTCTGAGTCATAAAGCACGTACTTCTTGAGACACCTCCTTCTCTGGACACTGAACATCCTCCTGCATGATCACTATCTTGAAGACCAAGGGTGTGTCCCCAGAGAGAAGCCCTCATCTTCTTGCTGTTTCCCTACCCAACCTGGGACATGAATGCATGGGCCTTGCTCCCGGCTCTCTGCAGAGCGCCTCCTTGTGTTCCGATAACAGATAACAGGCTCCAGTCTCCCCTCCTCCCGCTTCTCACTCTTCCTGCCTTCTGTACACGTTCATGGCTGCAACTTACCCTTGACTGCAGACTCGCTGATCCCCCCAGGATCTGAGATGCCTACATACCAGCTGTTTCCTTCCTCCCTGGGGAGTCTGGCACTGGGTTGGTGCCATTTGCTAAAGGACAGCCAGCCTTGTGCCCTTTATGTTCTTTTGTCTGGTGGCCCAGAGCCCAAGCAAAGGCCAAAGCCCCATGTCACCTAACTCTTGGCGATCCAGCTCATCAGTGGTGGTGGGGGCAGTCAAGTTCCCCTTGCCAGGGCCTCAAAGGTTCTTAACTCTCTGAGCCTGTTTGCCTCCTTGGCTGGTGTCAGGGTTCAGTGAGGCTACGTGGGCAACACTGAGCAGGGTGCCTCCAGTGAAGTAGGTGGTGGCTTTAGGCCTCCCGGTTCCTGCAGCTGCCCAGACCCCGCCAGGCTCAAGGGGCACCCATGGCTAGTTGATGTGTGTGAGGAGGTTCTGGCCAGACTAAAAATTGTCCCTAAGGAGGTAGACCACACACCAGGGAAATGATGTGTCTTGCTTGAGTATCCAGGGCCCCACCCACACTGATGACAAGTCCCTCACCAAAGCCCCCCAAATAAAAGAGCAGGTTGTTGAGGCCGAATGGGGCCAGGGAGGGGGAATAGGAACGGCAGGTGTGCTTTGCTGGGTGGATGTCGAGCCGAGTCCGACCTGGGCTCCAGGGCCCAAGCATGCTCCTCCTCGCTTTCCATGCCACCTCTGCCCAGTCGTCAAGTTGGGACCCTGGGATTGGCATGGATGCGGGTGGGGTCTTTGATTTGCTGCTTGCTTAACCAGATACGTGACCTGGACCAGCCCCTCTGGGACATCAGTCTTTATCTGGGCACAACGAGATAAGCACCCATGCACCGCTCTGAAGGGTCACTTCCATCCACATTCTCTGATGGCCTGGTTGCAGATCTGTAGGTCCCAGTTAGCTGCTCATATAGCACCCCCTTCCTATGCCCTGCCAGCCTAAGGATCAAACTTGCCTCTCAGGGTGCCAGATTTAGCATTCTCTGTCTAGTTGAGGAGCCCTGGGGGCACAGTGGTTAAGCTCTCATTTGTTACCCAAAAAAATCAGCGTTTCAAACCCACCGGCTACGTCTTGGGAGACAGATGTAGCAGTCGGCTTCCAGAAAGATTTGCAGTCTTGGAAACTCAGTGGAGTCGTTCTACTCTGCCTTCTAGGGTTACTACGAGTCTCAATCGACTGGATGATAAAGGGGGTTGCTTTTTTGGATTGGGGTGGGGGGGGCGGGGGGAGGGGTTGCTGGGTTTTGTTTTTTTTTCCTGTCCAGCTGACAGAGTTGAGGAGAGGTCAGCCAGCCAGCGCCCCCTGGTGGTGTGACATTGCCAGGCCTGCACATACTATGACAGTCACCCATGGGAACTTCTTGCTGTTTGGGAGCCAGGCGTAGTGGCCCTGGAATGACATTAGTGTGGATTTCGTGAATTCCTGGAGCTTTCAGCGTAAATAGGCTTTTAGACTCCAAGTAGCCCCACCCCTGACTTGGGCTGGGATGGTACAGACACTGCAAGATCACCCCGGGGCTACCTTCCTTCAAAGCCAGTGATTGGAAAGAGACAGCAGCTCAAGGTAGATCCAGAAGAGGACATGAAATGAGGGGTCTCACTGCCAATGTCTGACGGAGCTCAGCTGTAAGCAGAGACTATCAGAAAGATGCTTGCGTGCTGAACAGGTAGGCGATTTGAAGCACTTAGGGGTGAAGATCAAAGCCACCCGGATGGGTTACCCTTGAACCTGAAGAAAATTAAATTCTCACAACCGGACCATAAACAACATCATGAGAAGAGAAGATGAACTTGGAGTTGTCGACAATTTAACTCTAGCTGCATGACCAGTGTCCAGCAATGGAAGCAACAACCAAGGGACCAAGCAACACATCGCATGGGCAATTCTGCCACCCAAGGGCTGATTCACGTGTTCAAAACGAAGGTGTCACTTTGATGATGCAGGTTATGCCTGGCCCAGGTCCTGGTCTTTTTTAAAAAATCATTTGATTGGGGGCTCGTACAACTCTTATCACAATCCATCCATCCATCCATTGTGTCAAGCACATGTGTGCATTTGTTGCCATCATCATTCTCAAAACATTTGCTTTCTACTTGAGCCCTTGGTATCAGCTCCTCATTTTTTCCCCTTCCTCCCCACTCCCCCTCCCTCATGAACCCTTGATAATTTATAAATAATAATTATTTTTTCATATCTTACACTGTCCGACTTCTGCCTTCACCCACTTTTCTGTTCTCCATCCCCCAGGGAGGAAGTTATATGTAGATCCTTGTAATCGGTTCCCCCTTTCTACCCCACCTTCCCTCCACCCTCCCAGTATGGTCACTCTCACCACTGATCCTGAAGGGATCATCTGTCCTGGATTCCCTGTATTTCCAGTTCCTAT